CCCAAGTAGCTGGGAGTACAGGTGTGTGCTACCACGCCCGGCTAATTTTTGTGTATGTAGTACAGATGGGGTTTTGCCATGTTGGCCAGGCTGGTCTCGAACTCCTGGCCTCAAGTGATCAACCCACCTCGGCATCCCAAAGTGCTGGGATTACAGACATGACCCACCGTGCCCAGCCTCATGTGTTTGTCCATAATGGTTCTTCGGTATTGGCTGAATGGATGGGCTGAAATTTATTGAGTCCTTTAGATCTATTCCAGTCTGAACTGTCCTGATTTAGAACTGCGTCATTGAAATGGAGTAGGTAGAGGGTATCTGTAGGATGGGATCCTAGAAGGGGAGTTACTGGATCCAAGGTGTGGTTCAGGTGGAGTGTCAGGCGGCATTCTCAGGTCTGAGCCCTGCGCAGGAACTCTGGTAGTCAGCTGGGTGGCTGCGGGCCTGTTTATGCCTCCCCTCTCCTGGCTCTGAGTGCCTTTCCCTCTGGTTTCCCTCCCAGTGTTGAACTTGACCCTCATCGACCTCCCGGGTATCACCAAGGTGCCCGTGGGCGACCAGCCTCCAGACATCGAGTACCAGATCAAGGACATGATCCTACAGTTCATCAGCCGGGAGAGCAGCCTCATTCTGGCCGTCACGCCTGCCAACATGGACCTGGCCAATTCCGACGCCCTCAAGCTGGCCAAAGAGGTCGATCCCCAAGGTAACCCTGAGCCCAGGGCAGCAGTCCCCTCTTCCAGGTGCCTTGAGCATGGGACATGTCCAGCATCCTTGGTTTCAAGTCACTGGTGTTCTCTTTGATTCATGGCCACTTTAGGAAAAGGCCTCCTGGAACACAGCACTTCCTCCGAGAACCAGCAGTGCTGGTGGGCATCCCCTGGGAAGTCACTGTGTGGCAGTTGGACAGTCCTTGGACATGGCAGTGCCCATGTTGCCAGGGTGGGAAGCTAGCCTGGGGCTGAAGGAAGGGTCCAGCACTTCATGGCCCAGAGGCAACCTCAGGTCCCGTCTAGCTGTTACTCTGCTCCCTGAGACATGGTCCCCTCTTAGTCAGAATGGGAACTTCAGTCCTCACCCGGATAGCTGATGTGAGGACTGTTAAACGTCTGGTCTTTGCATGGTGAGATCATGTATTTCCCTTCGAGTTGACGCCCCGGGGCCCCTCTAGTCAGATCCCTCTACTGAACCCTCACTGCAGAATGTGAACAGGAAGGGGCCCCAGGGAGGACACAGCTGTGGCCCCCTTGATGCCCAAGTTGGCACCCACCAGAGATCTTCACTCTGGCTTCCATCTGTCCCCAGTGTCTCATGCACATGCCACACATAAAACACACACGGTTAGCCCAGAGCCAGGCCGCAGCCCCCGTGGGGGCGGTTGACCTGCAGAGGTGAGGCTTTGCTAGGAGGACATCCTTGACTCTGGAATGACTTGTGGAGAGGTGGGATTGGACGGGATGGTTTCCAGAGTGGGATTTTAGCCATTCAGGCAAGAGGTGGCCCTGGAAACAGTCGCGTCAGGCTCAAATGTTACCTTGGGACTTTGCTGCCACTTGGAGAGTCCAGCCTCAAAATCTGGCCCAGGAATCATGTTTCCGTGAGGTTTCCCCAAGCCTGCAGCAGCAGAGGTTGTCCTTAATAACACAAGTGACAATAAAGGCCAGCATTTGTTGAGTATTTGCCATGTGCCAGGCTCACCCTTATGACCTCCCTGTGAGATCAGGGCTGTGACCATCTTCATTCAACACGTGAGAAACTGGGGTCCAGGCCTGTGATGTTCTGGCTTTCCCAGGTGATGTGACCTGGAAGTTTCACGGCCGAATGGACCCCAGGTGGCCTGCAGCTGCCGACGCTCTTTCCTGGTGGCAGCCTCTGACCTCTGACCTCTGACCTCTGACCTCTGGGTTCTTTCAGGCCTGCGGACCATCGGTGTCATCACCAAGCTTGACCTGATGGACGAGGGCACCGATGCCAGGGATGTCTTGGAGAACAAGTTGCTCCCGTTGAGAAGAGGTGTGGCTTTGCGGGGACTGGGGAAGCAGGAGGATGGGTGGGGTCCTTATCGTTACTGAAACCCTGGCACCTGTTCTCTGCCTGCTTGGAAGTCACTGCTTCTCCATTTCACCGTAACTCCTTCTTTCTTTTCCCTTTGAGCATATGTATCTTTTTCTTCTGATTTGTATGCGTTCATTTTTCAAGTGCACAGTTAACACCTGCTGGTTTCTGGAACATTAGAAAACAAGTGTATAGAAAGAGGAAACTAAACGCACCCGCAGCCACACTTCCCCCAGACAGCCACTCGTGAATCTTCCGCAGCTCCCGGCTCCCCAGGGTTTATAACTGTAATTAATTTTTAAAATTACTTTCTATTATAACATCTCCTTTCCTTTTCCTTTTTTTTTTTTTTTTGAGATGGAGTTTTTGCCTTGTCACCCAGGCTGGAGTACAGGGGCGCAATCTCAGCTCACTGCAACCTCCACCTCCTGAGTAGCTGGGATTACAGGCACTCGCCAGCACACCCAGCTAATTTTTGTGTTTTTAGTAGAGACGGGGTTTCGCCATGTTGACCAGGCTGGTCTCGAACTCCTGACCTCATGTGATCCACTTGCCTCGGCCTCCCAAGGTGCTGGGATTAAAGGCATGAGCCACTGTGCCTGGCCTTGTTTTGTGTTTTTTAAAAACCATTCCTGCCCTCTGGGATCTACTCTAAGCTGCGGGCATCTCCGGCCTTTCCCTTCATGCTTAGCCACAGTCACTTAGACCGTTTCTTTTACTCCTGGGTTTTCCACCTTGATGTCTGAGATAGATGTGGGGAAAAGTTCAGACCTTGGTTACCACCATCCCCCAGCACCGCTGAGACATTGAGTGGTGAGGTGACCCCGGATCCCAGGAGAATGTGGTCAGGGCTAAATTCAAAACCCTGTTTGACTGTGAAGATCCGGGGCTGAGAAGTGAATCTGTGACTGGCTAAGGTTTGGGGAGGATTTGCTGGTGCTAAAGAGGAAAGCAGACCCTACCCAACCCCACACCCTACTACAGCCACCCTGACCCAGCTGCTCTTGGATACTGTTAGGCCTCCACCTTGGATCCTAAGGGGCTTCGGGGTCTGTGGGTACTAGCTGGGCTGAGGATTTGGTGATATGGGCCTCTTCCCCTTCCTCCTGACTCACTGATGTCCACGGCTGCCCTTCTCTGCCTTGCTTCCTGTTTCCAAGAACGAAGGTGCTTCCACTCTCAGCTCACTTGTAGGCCTGCTCCTGGTTTGTGACCTCAGGCTTCAGAAGCCCTCCCGCCGGACCCTTTTTCCTGGCGTACTAATGACTCACAACTCCTGCTGCTTTACGGGAACCCAGGCTAGGCGTGGTGGCTCATGCCTGTAACCCCAGGACTTTGGAAAGCACAGTTGGGAGGATGGCTTGAGGCCCAGAGTTTGAGACCAGCCTGGGCAACACAGCAAGACCCCATCTCTCTCTTGAAAAATCATACAGGCTTGGCACAGTGGCTCATGCCTGTAATCCCAGCACTTTGGGAGACCAAGGCGGGTGGATCACCTGAGGTCAGGAGTTTGAGGCCAGCCTGACCAACATGATGAAACCCTGTCTCTACTAAAAATACAAAAAAGAATTAGCCGGGTGTGGTGGTGCACACCTATAATCCCAGCTACTAGAGAGGCTGAGACATGAGAATCGCTTGAACCTGGGAGGCGGAGGTTGTAGTGAGCTGAGATTGCGCCACTGTACTCCAGCCTGGGTGACAAAGTGAGACTCTGTCTCAAAAAAAAAAAAAAAAATCATCCGTGTGCGATGGTACATGTGCCTGTACTCCCGGCTACTCAGGAGGCTGAGTCGGGAGGATGGCTTGAGCCCAGGAGTTCAAAGCTGTAGTAAGCTATGATCGTGCCACTGCAATGCAGAATGGGCAACAGGGCGAGACTCTATCTCTTAAATAAGTAAATCAACCCAAATCCAAGCCAGATGCTTTTTGCTGGCCCCTGCTGTTTCCTTCTTCGTGCTGTCACACAGGTGATGGTGATTTTGTCTTCACAGGGATCTAGGTTCAGATCTTGGGTCTCCTACTGTGACCTCACCTTGGCATGTCTCCATTTCCCTCCTCCCTCTTGGATCTGAGAGAGATCTGGAGAGGATGAAGAGCAGTCACATCTCACAAGACCTTACAGGATAGATGACAGGCACCTCTTCCCTTCTCAAGAGAAAAGATGCACAACCCCACTGCAAAGAAAATGGAGCATAGGCCAGGTGCAGTGGCTCACACCTGTAATTCCAGCACTTTAGGAGGCCATGGCTGGCAGATCATGAAGTCAAGAGTTTGAGACCAGCATGGCCAACATGGTGAAACCCCGTCTCTACTGGAAAAAAAAAAAATTAGCTGAGTGTGGTGACGCACGCCTGTAATCCCAGCTACTCAGGAGGCGGAGGTTGCAGTGAGCTGAGATTGCGCCACTGCACTCCAACCTGGGCAATGAGAGTAAAACTCTGTCTCAAAAAAAAAACAAAAAAAAAAAACAACCTACGAAACAAAAACCTAGCCAGGAGTGGAATGACAGGCATTCCACTAGGATTCTTTACAACAGCATGCATTGAATTATCCAGCTTTTCTCCCCCATACGTTGAAGTGTTAACTTTCAGTTCTACCTCCTTCTCGGTATAGTTTTGGACTTTTCTTTCGGTTCCACTGATCTCTCTGGACATGAATACCCTGATGTACCCAACTGTTTAAAATATACTTGTTTGATAGTGGATTTTAGCTGTTCCCTATTGCTCTTGTTTTTAAGATGTTATTTCTCTTTATTCTTTTGAGACAATGCCTTGCTCTGTTTCCCAGGCTGGAGTGTAGTGGGATGATTACAGCTTGCTGCAACCTCGAACTCCCAGGCTCAGGTGATCCTCCCATCTCAGCCTCCCAGGTAGCTGGGACTATACACATGTGCTACCACGCCTCGCTAATTTTTGTATATTTTTGTAGAGATGGGGTTTTGCCATGTTACCCAGGCTGGTCTCGAACTCTTGGGCTCAAGTGTTCCACCCACCTCAGCCTCCTGAAGTGTTGGAATTACAGGTGTGAGCCACCGCACCTGGCCTTGAGATTTTTTTTTTTTTTTTTTTTTTTTTTTTAATTCAGAGTCTTGCTCTGTCGCCCAGGCTAGAGTGTAGTTGCATGATCTTGGCTCACTGCAACCTCCACCTGCTGGGTTCAAGCAATTCTCCTGCATCAGCCTCCCGAGTCCCTGGGACTATAGTCAGGCGCCACCATGCATGGCTAATTTTTTGTATTTTTAGTAGAGATGGGGTTTCACCATGCTGGCCAGGTGGCCTCGGACTCCTTACCTCATGATCCACCCGCCTTGGCCTCCCAAAGTGATGGGATTACAGACTTGAGCCACCGTGCCCGGCCGAGATTTTTTTCTTACCTGCCTTTGAATCTCAGCTTGTAGATTTCATCCGCCCCAAAGCTTTTTTCTGTCCCTGCACACACAGGCTGGATGTGATCCCTCCTTCCTCCAAATACTTAACGTTCCTCTTCGCAGCTGCCATGTGCATTCGCATCCTCTGTGTTGTTTCCGAGTAACATGTTATGACATAGTCTGTGAGTGCCTTGTGGGACAGGATCCATCTCTATACTTGAATCTTGCCCATCTCCATGCCAGGTCCACTTGGCTCACCTAGCTTTGTCCCTGCCCTGACTGCCTCTCCCCACAGGCTACATTGGCGTGGTGAACCGCAGCCAGAAGGATATTGAGGGCAAGAAGGACATCCGTGCAGCGCTGGCAGCTGAGAGGAAGTTCTTCCTCTCCCACCCGGCCTACCGGCACATGGCTGATCGCATGGGCACACCACATCTGCAGAAGACGTTGAATCAGGTACTGCAAGGGTTTGTAGAGTAGTGTGCAGTGGCGTAGGCTGTGCACTGCACAATAGCTGCAGTCCTCACTGGCACTTGTTTCAGGCTACAGCAGCAGTTGTTTTAGCAAAATAGGTTCAGTCCACATTTATTTGTGCTGTAATAAATGTACTTGGCCAGGTGCAGTGGCTCATGCCTGTAATCCCAGCACTTTGGGAGGTCAAGGCAGGAGGATCACTTGAGCCTAGGAGTTCAAGACCAGTCTGGGCAACATATGGAGATCCTATCTCTAGGAAAAATAGAAAAAAATAGCTAAGCATGGTGGCATATGCCTGTAGTCCCAGGTACTCAGGAGGCTGAGGCAGGAGGATCACTTGAGCCTGGAAAATCAAGACTTCAGTGAGCTATGTTCGTTGCACTGCATTCCAGCCTGGGCAATAGAGTGAGACCCTGTTTCAAAAAATTAAATAACTAAATAAAAGCAATGTACTTGATTTAGGGTCTGGTGAAAAGCAGATGTTCAGTGACTTGGTGCTGCTACTATTACAACCATCGCTGTTATTACCAATATTTTAATTACCATTGTAATTATTCAGTCATTTACCCAGAAGATTGTATGCATTGCGTGGGATTGGTGACGGGGTTAATAACGTTTTTATTTATTATTATTATTATTTTTTTTTTGGGAGACGGAGTCTCACTCCATCACCTAAGCTAGAGTGCAGTGGCATGATCTTGGCTCACTCCAGCCTCCACCTCCCAGGTTCAAGCGATTCTCCTGCCTCAGCCTCCTGAGTAGCTGGGATTACAGGCATGTGCCACCACACCCGGCTAATTTTTGTATTTTTAGTAGAGATGGAGTTTCACCATGTTGGCCAGGCTGGTCTCAAACTCCTGAGCTCAAGTGATCCACCTGCGTCAGCCTCCCGAAGTGTTGAGATTACAAGCATGAGCCACCGTGCCTGGCCTATCATTCTCTTCTTATAAGTAATATATTCACAGGGTGCATAAACAGAAATGGTATTAAAAGCTATACAGTGGGCCAGTGCGTGGTAGCAGGGGCAAGATGTTCCTCTGTGCTGTTTTCCAGCACCTTCCAGGATGGCAGCAGGGCCTCAGCAGCACTCCAGGAGTCATCTTTTCACGCACATATCGGGGCACGCAGTGTCCACACGAGAGCAGGTTCCTGTCCTTGTGGAAGGCATAATTCTAATGAGGGAGACTGACACCAAACAAACCACCAGAGAAATGCACGATCAAGAATCCAGTAGGGGCGGGGGCCGGGGGCCGGGAAAAGAGCCGCCCAAAGAAGGCAGCTCAGGAGAGCAAAGAGGGAAGTCAGTGTCTAGAGGGAGGGGCCCACCAGGAGAGGAAGCTGGGGTCTGCCTGCAAACGGGAGTAGGGAGAGGAAGGGAAGTAAAACTCCACAGCTGGCTGGGTCCTCCTGAAAGCCAGCAGCGAAAAGCCCAGGTGGCCGCCAGGGAGCCTGGAGGGGGCTCAGCCTCCTTTCACGTGGGGTACTTCCCAGAGCAGCAGTGCCCCTTCCTCTCCATTTGCTCACGGCTTCAGTGCAGTAGTATCCTGTCAGAGACCAAGGGAAGGCCAGCGTAGCTCCCTGCCTTTCTGGGCAGCCCACACAGACGGGGGTCCACGGCCAGGGCTGCAGGGCAGGGATCCCTGGTCAAGGAGATCTTTGGGGTACCCCACTAGCTCCATGCCATAGATGTGAGGTTCCTTCATGCCTCTTTTCTAGCTCGCTGGACACTTTTTATTTTAATTTTTTGGATGAGTTTTTTTTTGTTTTTTTTTTTTGTTTTTTTTTTTGAGATAGAGCCTCACTGTGTTGCCCGGGCTGGAGTGCAGTGGTGTGATCTCAGCTCACTCCAACCTCCACCTCCCAGGTTCAAGTGATTCTTGTGCCTCAGCCTCCCAAGTAGCTGGGATTACAGGTGTGCGCCACCACACTTAACTAACTTTTGTATTTTTAGCAGAGACAGGGTTTCATCACATTTGCCAGGCTGGTCTCCATCTCTTGATCTCAGGTTATCCACCCGCCTCAGACTCCCAAAGTGCTGGAATTACAGGCGTGAGCCACTGTACCCAGCCTGGCCTTTTTTATTTCTCGCCCCCTGCCCCAAGATGGAGTCTCCCTCGCTCCCAGGCTGGAGTGCAGTGGCGCAATCTCGGCTCACTGAAAGCTCCGCCTCCTGGGTTCACGCCATTCTCCTGCCTCAGCCTCCTGAATAGCTGGGACTATAGTCACCTGCCACCATGCCCGGCTAATTTTTTTTTTTTTTTGTATTTTTTAGTGGAGATGGGGTTTCACGGTGTTAGCCAGGATGGTCTCGATCTCCTGACCTCGTGATCTACCCGCCTTGTCCTCCCAAAGTGCTGGGATAACAGGCGTGAGACACCGCCCCCAGCCCATGCCCAGCCTTTTTGATGATTTTTCTCTGTTATCCAGGCTTTCTGATGCATTTTACTCTGTTGTCCAGGCTGGATTGCAGTGACACAAACACGGCTCATTGCATCCTCAGCCTCCTGTACTCAAGCGATCCTTTTGCCTTAGCCTCCTGAGTAGCTGGGACTATAGGTGTGTGCTGCCACACTCAGCTAAGTTTTAAAAGTTTTTTATTTTTTGTAGAGAGAAGGTCTCACCATATTGCCTGGGTTGATCTCAAACTCCTATCCTCGAGTGATCTGTCTCAGCCTCCCCAAGTGCTGGGATTATGGGTGTGAGCCACTGCACCCAGCCTTGATGAACACTTTCTAAATTCTTCTCTATTGTGGGACAGATGGCAGAACTCTGCTTTACACTTTTCAAGTATAGGCTGATTTTATGGCTTTGTTTTTCTTTTTCTTTTCTTTTAAATTTTTAAATTAAAAAGAAATTTTTTTTTTGAGAGAGTCTTGCTCTGTCACCCAGGCTAGATAGAGTACCGTGGTGTGATCTCGGCCCACTGCAACCTCCACCTCCCGAGTTCTTTCTCAGCCTCCCGAGTAGCTGAGACTACAGGTGCCCACCACCACACCCAGATAATTTTTGTATTTTTTGGTAGAAACAGGGTTTCATTGTGTTGGCCAGGCTGGTCTCAAACTCTTGATCTTAAGTGATGCTTCTGCCTCAGCCTCCCAGAGTGCTGGGATTACAGGTGTGTGCCACCGTGCCTGGCCCACGTTTGTCTATTTTGAATCTTTCTTGCTTCTCTCTGTAGATGCAGATGCAGCCAGGGAGGTCATCTTAAGTGCGTTCTGCTGCTTTTCAGGGGAGATCTTTCCGTCTTAGTTTGTAGGGCCTGTCCCTGTGTGTGTTCATTGGCACCCATGTTCTGTGGTCTGTATGGACTGTCCTTGCAAGTATTTGCATGTCGCCAAGGCGTTGATATGCCCAGTGCCTGATGTCAGCCCCACGGGCTGTTTGTAGCCTCTTACACTCATGAGCAGCTCCGTACCGTCTCCTTTCCCAGACACGAGTATATCTGTGGCTTGATATATCTGTTGCTGTCTCAAGGCTGTGTGGTGTGCTGGCCTCATAGTGGCACCCTGGCGTTGGCCCTTGGTGGGGGGAGTATGCCTGCCACCCCCTGGTCCCCTGCCCATGCCACCCTTTCTGATCTCTGACCTCTCTCCTGCAGCAACTGACCAACCACATCCGGGAGTCGCTGCCAGCCCTGCGTAGCAAACTACAGAGCCAGCTACTGTCCCTGGAGAAGGAGGTGGAGGAGTACAAGAACTTCCGGCCCGACGACCCTACCCGCAAAACCAAAGCCCTGCTGCAGTACGTACCCTGGCACCCGCCCCCACCACCAGCCTGGCTCCTGCCTTCCATCCGCCACAGGGCCCCCTAGACTGGGCACCACTCATCACTCGTCCACTCATTCATTCAGCAGACACTCGCTGCAAGCCTTCTGCGTGCCAGGCTCCATCCTAAGCACGGCAGTCGCCCCAGTGGACGGGACAGGTGTCCATCCCTGCCCCCTGGAGTGCTCAGAAGGGGGGGAAGTGGGATGAATGGGACAAAAAATAAGAAAGAAAATGTATAGTGTGTTAAATGTCAAATTATGAAAGTGGTGCTAGTGTGGGAGTCGTCGGGAACAGCCTCCTTTAGAAGGGGAGCGTTGGCCGGCCAGGTGCAGTGGCTCATGCCTGTAATCCCAGCACTTTGGGAGGCCAAGGTGGGTGGATCACCTGAGGTCAGGAGTTCGAGACCAGCCTGATCAACATGGTGAAACCCCATCTCTACTAAAATTGCAAAATTAGGCCAGGCACAGTGGCTCATGCCTGTAATCCCAGCACTTTGGGAGGGCAAGGTGGGCGGATCACAAGGTCAGGAGATCGAGACCATCCTGGCTAACGTGGTAAAAAAATCACAAAAAATTAGCTGAGCGTGGTGGTGGGCGCCTGTAGTCCCAGCTACTCAGGAGGCTGAGGCAGGAGAATGGTGTGAACCCGGGAGGCGGAGCTTGCAGTGAGCCGAGATCCCGCCACTGCACTCCAGCCTGGGTGATAGGGCAAGACTCCATCTCCAAAAAAAAAAAAGAAAGTGAGCGTTGGCCAGGCATGTAATGTAATCCCAACGTTTTGTGAGGCTGAGGCGAGAGGATCGCTTGAGGTCTGGAGTTCAAGACCAGCTTGGCCAACGTAGTGAAACCCTGTCTCCTCTGAAAATACAAAAATTGGCCGGGCATGGTGGCATTCTCCTGTAATCCCAGCTACTTGGGAGACTGAGGCAGGAGAATCACTTGAACCCAAGAGGCAGAGGTTTCAGTGAGCTGAGAACACATCACTGCACATCAGCCTGGGCAACAGAGTAAGCCTCTGTCTCAAAAAAAAAAAGAACAAGTTGAGTGTCAGGCGAAGACCTGAAGCAGGTGAGGGAGGGAGCCATGTGGGATGAAGCCTGGCCAGTGCACAGGCCCTGGGGCAGGACTGGGTCGGGCATGTCAGAGGAGGACCGTGTGGCTGGATGGAGTGAGTGAGGGGAGGGGGAGGAGGTGAAGGAGCAGCTGTGCAGGGCCTGGTGGGACCTCATGGAGGACACTGGCTTTTGCTGTGAGTGAGGTGGGAGCCATGGACGGTTCTGAGCGCAGGAGGGTCAGGGCTGACTCAGGTGCTCACAGGCTCCCCTGGCTGCGGTGGGAGAAGAGACATGGGAGAGAGGGTAGGAGTCAGACCTTGGGTTAGGTCCCTCTCCGGCCTGGGCTCTTAAGATCCGCCCCGTGACTTGGTTGGTGCAGCCGCCTAGCTGTGAGGTTTGGGAGCAGGTGTGCCCCCACAATCCCAAATTCTCACTCAGGGACTCTTCTGCCTCTGACCTTTTGGCTTTGGGCCTGTAAGGGTCCCTGAGGCACTGGAACAGCTGGACCAGAGCAGGTGACAGGGACTCCTGGGTAGCTCATACTGCAGACGGTACCATGCACGAGGCACTTCCCACAGGGACAGCAGGAGGACACTGCCTGCTCTGACCATCACAGCCCTGGCATCCCCCCCCGCCCTGCACCAGGCAGCAGTGCATGGTCGTGGGCTCAGGGACCAGAGTGCTTTTATGCTCAGACATCCTTGACACAGCAGATAGTGGCCCTTTGCAGGCTTCAAGAGGAGATTCATAGCCGGGCATGGTGGTGCATCCCTGTAATTCTAGCTACTCGGGAGGCTGAGGCAGGAGAATCGCTTGAACCCGGGAGGTAGATGTTGCAGTGAGCCGAGATCGTGCCACTGCACTCCAGCCT